GATGATGAGGATAGTGGCGATGATGACAATGATGATGCTGCTGCTGATGGTGCTGATGATTCTGTGGATGCTGGTGATTACGACGAGAGCGACGATGACGATGACGATGATGATGCTGATGCTTATGATGATGATGATGATGACGATGATGATGAGGATGATGATGATGATGATGATGATGATGATGATGATGATGATGATACTGATGATGATGCTGCTGATGATGATAGTGATGATGATGAGGAGGAGGACAGTGACGATGATGACGATGATGCTGCTGTTGATGATGATGACGATTCTGCTGCTGCTGGTGATGACGACGAGAGCGGTGATAACGAGAATGACGACGAGGATGATGATGCTGATGATGATGATGCTGCTGATGATGATGATGATGATGATGATGATGATCATGATGATGCTGATGAGGATGCTTCTGGCGCTGATGTTGATCAGAAGGAGAAGGGAATGATGACGATGACGATGACGATGACGATGCTGCTGGTGATGATGGTGACGATGATGAGGACGAGGTTGATGATGGTGATGCTTATGATGATGCTGATGATGATTATGATGATGATGCTGCTGATAATGATGATGCTGCTGAGGACGGTGCGTAGGAGATGGAGGTGGAGGAGGAGGTGCAGGCGGTATGAGGCGGAAGATGAGGCGGAGCATGAGGACGACGATGAGGACGAGGATATCGATGACGACGACGGCGACGACAACGACGCCGATGAGGATGACGATGATGACGATGATGATGATGCTGATAAGAATGAAGATGATAGTCATGATGCAGATGATGATGCTGATGACGATGCTGCTGATGATGATAATATTGCTGTTGCTGCTGACACTGATGCTAAGGACGATGCTGATGGTGAGGATGTTGATTGCGGAGGTGAGGCTGATGGGGACGTGGGTGATTGGTATGTTGTTGATGATGGTGATGAGGATGATGCGGCTGATGATTTTGATAATGCCGATGCTGATGGCGATGATGATGCTGCTGCTGATGATGATGATAATGATGCTTATGATGATCGTGATGCTGACGATGACGACGCCGATGCTGACGATGATGGTGACGGTGACGATGACGACGATGATGACGACGACTATGATGATGGCGCTGATGATGATGATGATGCTGGTGATGTTTGTTGTGATGATGGTGATGCTGATGATGATAACGACGACGGAGATGATACAGACGATGTCGATGATTATGCTGATGACGACGATGATGATGTCGATGATAATGATGATGATGATGATGATGACGATGATGATGATGATGATGATGATGATGATGATGCTGATGACGATGAAGATGCTGATGCTGATGATGTTGATGCGGCTGTTGATAATCACGAAGCCGATGACGATGATGCTGATGATGATGATGCTGGTGATGATGATGATGATAATGATGATGCCGAATGATGCGGGTGCTGATAATGATGGTGCTGATGATGATGCTGCTGCTGATCAGGGCCATGATGACGATACTGATGCGAACGATGATTGTGATACTGATGGTTCGGATGATGTTGTTGACAGTGATGATGCTGATGATGCTGATGATGATGCTGATGATGCCGATGATGCTGCTGTTGATGTTGATGTGGATGATGATGCTGCTGATGATGGTCATGATGGTGATGATGGTGATACTGGATGCTGATGATGATGACGACGCTGTATGCTGATGCTGAAGCTGATACTGATGATGTTGATGCTGATGCTGATGCTGATGCTGCTGATGATGATGGTGATGATGCGGAGGAGGAGGATGCGTAGGCGATGGAGGCGGAGTGTGCGGCGACGGCGGGGGATGAGCTGGAGGGTGAGGCCGAGCTGGAGGATATTGGTGACGGCGACAACGGCGAGGACGACGACGGCGACGACGACCGCATTGCTGATGATGATGATGATGATGCTGATGATGGTGATGACGATGATGATGATGATGATGGTGATGATGATGATGATGATGTTGATGATGATGAAGATGATGATGATGATGATGATCGTGCTGATGCTGCTGATGCTGCTGCTGTTGCTGCTGCTGCCGACGACGACGACGAGGACTCTGATGATGAGGAGGATGATGCGGATGCTGATGATAATCACGATGATGGCAGTGCTGATGGTGCCGATGATGATGACGACAATGACGACGATGCTGTTGATCCTGATGATGATGATGATGATCACGGATCTGATCAGTCTGATTGTGAACGGGGGCGATGATGATGATGATGATGGCGCTGATGATGATTGACCATGTCGATGATGGCGATGATGATGAGCATGATGTTGATAATTATTCTGATGATGATGACGACGACGTGGATGATGATGCTGATGTTGATGATGAGGATGATGAGGTTGATGATGACGATGATGATGATGATGGTGATGTTGATGCTGATGACGATGCTGATGATGGTGATGATGATGCTGATGGTGATGATGTTGTTGAGGCTGGTGATGACAGTGCGCTGATGATGCTGCTGATGATGATGCAACTGAGGATGATGATGATGATGGTGATGATGATGCTGATGATGATGACAATAATGCTGCTGATGCTGCTGATGCTGATGATCATGATGATTAGGTTGATGATGCTGTTGATGCTGCGACTGCTGACGATGATGGCGACGATGATGATGCTGCTGATGATTCTCATGACGATGGTAATTGTAATGATGATAATACGGATGATGATTTTGATAATCATGTTGATGATGATGACGACGAGGACGATGCTAATGATGACGATGACGCTGTTGATGATAACGATGACGAGGACGATGACGATGTTGGCGATGCTGCTGATGACGATGATGATGATGATGATGATGATGATGATCACGGTGATGATGGTGATGCTGATTTCGATGTTGATGCTGATGATGATGCTGATTTATGTTGATGATCATGATGAGGCTGGTGATGATGAGATGATGATGGTGCTGAGGAGGAGAGGGAGGAGGATTAGGAAGAGGTTGATGAGGATATCGGTGACGATCACGACGACGTGGATGATGATGGTACTGATGATGATAATGCTGATGATGGTGATGCTGATGATGACGATGATGATGCTGATGATGATGCTGACGACGATGATGATGCCGATGGTGATGCTGATGATGACGATACTGATATTGATGACGATGATGATGCTGATGATGATGATGACGATGATGATGATGGTGATGATGATGATGATGATGATGATGATGATGATGATGATAATGATGATGATGATATGTTGGTGAGGCTGATGATGCTGATGATGATTATGCTGGTGATGGTGGTGGTGGTGATGCTGATGATTGAGGTGGTTGTGATGGTGGTTGTGGTGGTGGTGGTTATGATGATGCTGGTGCTGATGATGCTGATGATGCTGCTGCTGTTGCTGCTGACGATGACGATGACGATGACGATGATGATGATGATGATGATGATGATGATGATGATGATGATGATGATGATGATGATGATGGGGAGCAGGAGGAGGAACCGGTGGACTCTTTGCTTCCATAGCTTGCAAAGGGCGGAGGAGCAAGCAGGAGGGAGAGGTAGACGCAGGAGGAGGAGAAGAAGGAGAAGGGGTGAGACGCAGAATGACAAGGAGGCTCCTTTGCATTTATATCCATACAGGGATGAGGGTGAGAAGGAGGAGGAGGACCAGTTTACATCCAAGGTGCATCAACGATGTTACAATAACTTCCCTCCAAGTCTCCTCTTCACAGAGTTCCAGCAATAATTGATTTTCATAGTGGGAAGTGCCGCATTGAAAGACAACCGTCTGTAAATCCTCAATCGTGCCACGCCACCACTCCTGGGACTTGAACGCCGCGAATCGACGTGTCGGTTTCGCCCTGACCCCAGACAATCCGAAGTCGTGCCAGACCACCAGTCTCGGGAATTCAACCTGCGAATCAACGTGATTATTGCGTCTTGACAAGTCAGAGTCGTGGCAGAAGACCACTCTTGGGACTTCAACTGTGTGAATTCTTGCGACGATCGCGAATTTTCAGACGAATGTGGGGGCTGCACAAGCGAAAACAACATTTTGAAAAGGAACGACCCTCTATTTTTGATGTTGTTGGAAACTGCAAACTTTTCCGACGAATGTGCGTGGCGCTCAGGCCAGAGCCACATTGTGAAGAGAACCCGCCCTCCATTCTTCAAGCTGTTGCGAACTTTTTGGACGAATGTGAGCGACGTAAAGGCGAGAGCCACATTGTGAAGAGGACCCGCCCTCCATTCTTGAAGCTGTTGCGAACTTTTTGGACGAATGTGAGCGGCGTAAAGGCGAGAGCCACATTTTGAAGAGGCCCCGCCTTCCATCCTTGAAACGGTTGCAACTTTCTCGACGAATGTGCGCGGCGCTAGGGCGAGAACAACATTTTGACAAGGACCCCCCTCCATCTTTGAAACTGTTGCGCACTTTTCAGACGAATGTGCGTGGCGCTAAGGCGAGAGCCACATTTTGAAAACCACCCGCCCTCCATCCGCGCAAAAACGTTGCAGATTTCAAGCTGCAGGACAATACATGGCGAGGAAGCCTCAGGCGAAGCACGCCCGGCCCGCCCTACTGACACGCGACACGCTTTGGGAGTGCGACAGGGAGGAGTTATCTATGAGGAACAGGGGCTGAGAAGAACGATGAGGGTGAGGAGGAGGAGGAGGAGGATGAGCAGGATGAGATGGATCAGGAGGGTGAGAGGCCTGATGCTTATGAGGACCTTTTGCTTTCATACCCCGCAAGGAGGACCAGAAGGGAGGAGAGTGAATAATGACGAGGAAGAGTAGGAGGATAAAAATGAGGATGCTCATGTGTTGTCAGATCACAGCAACGTGGAGGAGCAGGGACTATGGAGAGGGAGGAGGATGACGAGGACGATGCCTTCTTCCTTCATCCCTCCCTCCTCCACCTCCTCCTCCTCCCCCTCCTCCGGTTTCATCGTCGGCGCCGACGGCAACGACGTCTTCCTGCACATAAAGTCCTGCACCGACGGCGGCGTGCCGCAGAAGGGCACCGCTTACCCCCTCTCCCGTGCCGGTAGAGCGGGCTCCTGCGACAGAGGGGGACGAGGAGGAGGGAGGAGGGAGGAGGAGGAGGAGGAGGAGGAGGAGGAGGAGAGGAGGAGGAGGAGGAGGAGGAGGAGGAGGAGAGGAAGAGGAGGAGGATGATGAGGATGAGGAGGAGGATGAGGAGGAGGAGGAGGAGGGGGAGGAGGAGGGGGAATGAGGAGGAGGAGGAGGAGGAGGAGGAGGAGGAGGAGGAGGAGAGGGAAAGAGGGGGAGGAACAGGCTCAGAGGAGGGTCACAGCGTCCAACGCCTCTGGGCTCGATCCTCGGTCCTCGTGGGCCCTCCGTCCTCGCTCCTCGATCCACCATACTGACTGCGACCACTACCGACAATGTCGTGCCTGTCGCGAAGCTCCTCCTCAATGCCATTCACCGGATGACCCCAACACTGAGCCAGATCATCCTCCGATGTTGCCAGCGCAAGCTGTCTGTGGAAATCTGTCCAGTCTCGTGGATATCGTCCGCATCCAGGCTTTGCGATAGTAGGCGCTGAGCGTGGCTGACGCGCCGCTCGGGCCCACAGCACAGTGGACTCTTCTCCCCCTTCTCCCCCCCCACGCCCTCGCTGGCAGGCGACATCGTGGCGTACGATACGGAGCCCAGCCAGACGAAGCCGGGCCAGCTGTCG